AACATTTGCAAGAGTTTCACGGATTGAAGGCGGGTCGTTTTCAAAACGTGGCTCTCGCCTTAGCGCCGCGCACATTCGTTTTGAACATTTGCAGAAGAGCTTCACGGAGTGAGGGCGGGCCGTTTTCAATATGTGGCTCTCGCCTTAGCGTCACGCACATTTGTTCATAATCACTTGAAGAATTTCACGGGTTACAATGATCAACGTACCTAAAATCGTGTTTGGGAAAGATTCAGGATTAATCGGGTGCAACCGTTATGTTGATTCGCGGTAATGAAATCCCTAAAATGGCGTTCCGGCACGCTTCTGGATCGTCAAGACGCAGCAAGCAGGTTGATCCGTGGGGCTGAAATCCTGAGAACCATGTTTTGGCATGCTTCCGTATCTTCACACGGTTATCTTCCAACGAGGCAGTTCCCTCAATGGAAATGAACCGTTGCAGGGGCCTATGAAGGGGGGGCCTTGGAGGGAGGGTTTATTCCAACATCTTTGATGGTTCTTGGGTTTACACTGGTCCTCCTCCTCCTCCTCCTCCTCCTCCTCCTCCTCCTCCTCCTCCTCCTCCTCCTCCCTCCTACCTCCTCCCTCCTCCCTCCTCCCTCCTCCCTCCACCCTCCTCCTCCTCCACCCTCCTCCTCCTCCTCCTCCTCCTCCTCCTCCTCCTCCTCCTCCTGGGTCCCCCGGGGCCGTGCCCAGAGATCTGCGCGCGGCCCCCCCCCCCCCCCCCAAGGCGGGGCCCCGAGCCGCAGGACGGCCCGCCGCGCGTCGGCTCGTTCGCTCCGGAGATCTCCGAGCATCGCTTGGCCGATCCCGGGGCCCCACTGGCCTGAGGGAACGAAAAATGGCATAAGCATAAAAACTCAGAGGTCCGCGCGGATTTCTTGGATCCGCGCTGGACCCCCCTCCCTGGCGCGCGAAGCGCGCCAGGGGCGGCGCCGGAGGCGCCGCCAGGGGGCCCCAGCGCCGATCCGCGCTCCGAGAAATCCGCGCGGACCTCAGAGTGCCTATGTTTATGTCACTCTTCGTTCCCCTATGGCCGCCCTGCCCCGCCCCTCGGGCAAGGAGAAAATCACCACGGGACGGGACGGCCCGCCGCGCGTCGGCACGCTCGCTCCGGAGATCTCCGAGCATCGCTCGGCCGACCCCCCGGGCCCGCTGGCCAGCCGGCCCCGCCCCTCGGGCATCGATTTAGATAGGAAAATGTGTGAACAAAAACCTATCCATTTAGATGCGAAAAGTGGAAATGTCTATTTAGATCGTAGGAGTCAGAATAGATCGGAAAAGTCTATCTAGATAGCCTATCTAAATAGAGCGGAAAAGATTCTCATGGAGATCACAACGGGAGACCTGTCCTCCCGGACTCGCGGTCTCGGGGCCGTCGAGGGCACGCCTCGGGCTGAGACACCAGTCTTGGGGCACGGGTCGAGACTTGGAAGGGGCCCTGGGACACACAACGAAGTAGGCACTAGTGACAGGCTTCCCCACAGTTTTCCACATGTCCTGGGTTTTTGTCTTCCCCCCAACCTTCTGCGGGGAGTCGACGATGGATTGTGTCTGTGTTTTTGTTCCCCTCCCAAGACTTCTGGGGGTCGACGTTGTGAAAAACCACGGCGTCGGGGGTCTGGGCTCGCGGGGCCCGTCCCCACTGGGGTGGGTGACCTGGTGGGTCCGAGGTGACAGCACCACAGGAACACATAACTAGGGGGCAAACAAACCTACCTCGCTTTTGACCACCCTCGCTTCCAAGAGATACCAGGCGATGCCAAACTACGGCCTGTACTGGTAAGGCCGCCTGACGAGGAGGCGCGTGGTATGACTTGGTTTTGCCTGGAAGCGAAAGCGGGGTAGGTAATTCACGCTCTGAATAACGTCGGCCTTGCTTGGACAGGACACGCGAGAGGACACAAGGCCCTTCCGAGGGCCACATTGCGACACGCGAGAAGACACAAGGCCCTTCCGAGGGCCACATCGCCACATAAGCGTAAGAAGGCACGTGTCGCGAGGCACAGGACACAAGGGTACCCTTGAGCTGACAGGGCCGACCTACGAATCCGGGCCGACTGCAACGTTAGGTCGGGCGTGTCCCCCATACAGGGGAATCTTGGATGACACATCAAATACCCAACACATATCCTAAACTAGTTACACCGTATCTTGAAACATCGTCCCCAGACAATGTTTGGACTATGTTCGAGTATTCCTCTGAAGAGGGACAAGACCGACTTGACATAAGAGGAACACAGAACGGCACAACCACAAACTTGTGGAGGCCCGCGCGGATTTCTTGGATGGGCGCTGGACTGCCCCTCCCTGGTACGCGGAGCGAGCCAGGGGGGTTCAGCACCGACCCAAGAGAAATCCGCGCGAAACTCCGAAAGCGTATGTTTATGTAATTCGTTACGTTAGTACAGTCAACCCGGAGTGTAAGGATGCGCGATAAAGATGCTCTCGACGCTTTTCGGAGCTTTTCGGAGCTTTCCGAGCGGGGCGCGGCCAACGAGAATGGCCAAGGATAGACCGAGGAGGCAAGGATTTTTCAGGGAAGTTACCCTTGGGAAGGTTGCCCATCTTTACTCTGCGGGTTGACTGTACTCCGAGCCATGGCCCAATGGCGATGGGGACCTAGACATCCGGTTGCTCCAACTTTTTCGATGCATGGGCCCCAAAGGTGCGGACCACTTCCCTGGGGCCAGTTTTTCGTCCCGAACCGTTGTTTGACGCCCCCGAGGTCCGGCGAGGGCCCCGAGAGGCCGAAAGCGGCCAAAGACCGCCCGCTCCAGTTCTCCTGGAGCGTCGGATCTCTGGGGGTGGGCCAGGCCCTGCCGGCAGGCCCGCCTGCATGCCCCGCTGCAGGTCCGCGGGGCTGCCGCCGCCCCCGCCGCGCAGCCCCTGCGCCACGGCGTGCACGCGCCGCACCTGGCCCACCAGCGCCTCGCCGCGGGCCGCGGCGGCGGCGCCCGCCGCGCAACCGCCGCGCGACGGGCTCGTGCGGCGCAAGCCCGGGCTCGGCCCGCGAGGCGGGCTTCCGGGCGTGGGCGTCGCCGCGGGGGCCTCCTCCGCGCCCTGCTCGGCATCGCTGAACCGACCCCCTGCCCCCGACACCCACCCCACTCCTCCTCCTCCTCCTCCTCCTCCTCCTCCTCCTCCTCCTCCTCCTCCTCCTCCTCCTCCTCCTCCTCCTCCTCCTCCTCCTCCTCCTCCTCCTGCCACCACCCCAAGGGGAGGTGTCCCCTCGATAAGCCCGTGAGGTGCAGCAGGCATCCCCGTCTATATTAGAGAGGGGGGGCAGATCGGCCCATGGGGCCCAGGCCACGCCAGTGGGCGAGAGGGCTCGGCTCAACGAGGCGCACCTGCTGCGCTGGCCGCTCGCGCGAGGCCGACCGCGCGGCCCGCAGCTGCGGCCCGGCCGCGGACCGCAGCGCGGACCTCGCCAGGGTGCCCGCGGGCGGCGGCGCCCGCCCTGCCGCGGCCGCGGCGTCGGGCCCGCAGGAGGGCGCGGCGGCGCCTTCGGCGGCAGCGGCGGCTGCGCTTGGGGCGGCGCTTTCGGCGGCGCCTTCGGCGGCACCTTCCGCGGCGCCTGCGGCGGCGCCCGCGGCGGCTGCGCCTGGGGCGGCGCCTTCGGCGGCGCCCGCGGCGGCTGCGGGGGTGGGCGACTCGCGGCGGGCGGCCTCGCGGGCGCAGCCCTCCTCGTCGGCCGGCCAGTTCCAGGGCGGCGGGGGCCAGGCCGCCGCCGCCGCCGGCACCTCTGCCGCCTCGTCGTCGGTCTGCAAGGAGACGTCCACCTGCGCCAGGCTTAGGCTCTGGCACGCCGCGGGCAGCGGCTCCGAGGGGGCAGCTCCGCGCGCGGCCACACTCAGCACGGCCGCCCACGCCTCTGGCGTGGCTTGAAGGGGGGGCGCTGAAGGAGGGGGCCACGAGACATGCACCGCACCCCCCCCCAATTACGCAACGCCCGAACGCCTCCAGCTGCGCGCATAGGCCGGCGACCTCTGGAGACTCGGCGGGGGAGTTACCCATGAACGAGTCCAGCTCCCGCAGGCTGCTCGGAGATCCTTTGCTAAACTCCTCGCGGATCGTTTCGCGGAGCCCGTCCGCGTAGCCCAGCATCTCGCCACCCGCGCGCTTGACGGCCTCCTTCATGGCCTGCTCCTGGGGGAACCAAACGGTGCCGATAACGCTACTCGTCGGACCTCTGCCAGGGCGCGGTCTGACCAGGATCTCTAGGCGAGTCAAGCCGTGGCGACGAGGGTCTCCCAGGAGGCCTGGAAAGCCCCCCCCCCCACCACGAGGCAAAGGTAGTGGTTTGGGAGGAAGAAGAAACATAAACGCAAACTGTTGGAGCTCCGCGCGGATCTATTGGATCTGCGCTGGGCCCCCCTCCCTGGAGGCGCCGTCAGAGGGGGTTCTAGCAACGATCCATCAGATCCTCGCAGATCATCGAAATCCGCCGATCCGGCGTGTGAGTTTCAAGGAGTCTCAGCTACAGCCTCGAGGCTGAGCTTCAGCCTCTGGGGGGGTCGCCGGGGTGGCTCTGCCGGGGAAGGGGGGGTGGGGGGGGGGGGGGGGGGTGCGAGTTTCCGGCGAACCCCGGGGCCGCTCCGGGGGAGTGGAAGATAGGGGGGGGGGGGGCGCCATGCTCCGCTTTTTCCGGCGCTTTGGAGGAGGGGGGGGGCCCAAGAGACCCCCAAGGGGTTCCAAGAGGGCCCCGAGTCGCCGAAAAATCGCTCCAAGACGCCCGAGATGGCCTCCAGACGGCCCAAGGTGTCTCCAAGACGCCCCAAGAAGCTTCCAAGAGGCCTCCCAAGAGGGCCCCAAGAGGCCAGAATCGTTGATTTTCATTGGTTTTCTCAGGGTTTTTAGCGTTCTTGCCTTTTCGGGCGTCCGACGCTCGAAGACGGCCCAAGAGGCCCCCAAGTCCGTCCCAAGACGGCCCACGATGCTTCCAACACGGCCCAAGAGAGCCCCAAGACGGCCCAAGAGGGCCCCAAGACGGCCCAAGA